TAATCCTAACACTTTGGGAGGCCGAGGAGGTCAGGAGATTGAGAACATCCTGGCTAACACGGTGAAACCCCATCTCTACTAAAAATACAGAAAATTAGCTGGGCATGGTGACACATGCCTGTAGTCCCAGCTACTCGGGAGGCTGAGGCAGGAGAATCGCTTGAAGCCAGGAAGCAAAAGTTGCAGAGAGCCGAGATTATACTCCAGCCTGGGTGATAGAGCAAGACCAAAAAAAAAAAAAAAAAAATTCCTTTTTTTTTAATCTTTCTTCTCAGTATGTCTTCCACCCACAACATAGGGAGGATAGGACATATACACAAAGTATGTGCATATGGAAGATACATAAAGTTGCTAGGAAACAACATGAAAGAATCATGAAAAACAGTGTTGGAATCTAACATTAAATTTATAAAAGTATTTTAAGGATGATATATTCAGTTTTTTGTATCTTAAAACACTTGTTTGATCCTTCTTCGTTATAATTACATTTGCTTATACACTTAGTTTGGTTGTACTAAAACTCGAGCTTCATTAGCTTGTACATGCTACAGATAACTTCTATCAATTCCAGTTTCTCTTTTGAAAAATATTTGAATTCCTGTAATATGTTTGGTCATTGTATTTCTGTTATATCTTCTAATGCATTTAACATTTAGAAATGGATTACTTACTAGCTAAATGAAAGTTACTGTCTTATCTGTGGAAGGAATACATCTAGTATTTTATCAAGTTTATTTTTGAAAGAGTATGTTACATACTCTGAGCCATGAAAGCTAATGTATAATATATTCACAATTCTTTCAAGACTTATTTTGATTTCACATCTGTTGGTGCCTTGAGGTGGTCATATAAATCTCAAAATATCGGAATTTCTGAAGGAGAAAACATTTGTGAAGCAAAGGAAATTTTAAGAGGCAGCATAGTATGATTCACAGCACAGACTCTGGAGCCAAATTATTTGGGTGCACACTTGGGCTCTATAGCATACTTCCTGTATGACTTTAATACTTAACCTCTTTGTGTTTTAGTCTTACCATTTGTAAAATAGAGGTAATGATAAAACTGCTTTGTGGGATTGTCCTTACAATTAAATGAGTTATGATAATGTAAAGTGCTTAGAATGGCTTCTGGCATGTGGTAAACAGTATGCTATTACTGTTACTGTCAATGGAAGAATACATTCAGTTTATTTCTCTCAGACTTCATATGAAACATGTGAATTGATAATATTAAAGAAAGTATGTATTTGTTATAAGGAATTATGCTGCTTTTTACTAAAGTATGCAGGTTGTGGACTGCATCTGGAAGGTGTGGTACTTGATAAAGAGATTGGATTTACACGGAAATGTTACCCACAAACACCTATGAGAGGACCTATTGGTAGAAGCCTTAGCTTCTTCCCACCCATTCCCCAGTTGATTTCAGTTTTCTCTTTCTGAATTGCTTTACGTATCTGTCCTTTAAAGCCCAACTTACATGTCTCTTAAAAAAATGTTTCACTTTATTCACCTACCTCTCTTAACTCTAGTAAATAATCAACTCCTTCTCTTTGTGGCCCTAGAATTTTGTTTATGCTTTAGTACTTAACATAGTACCCTCTAATCATACTTGAACATGCCTTAACATAGTACCCTCTAATCATACCTCCTTTCACAAGCCCTGATGTTAGCTTGTTCTAGGTTTTATTTTCTGTGTCTTGTTTTCATTTCTAATGTCTCTTGTTGCAAGAAAGGAAATGGAACTGAAGCTTCTCCATCTACCAATTGAGCATTCATGATTCATTAGTACTGTAAATGTGATCTACTTGGAATTCTGCTGCAGAAATAACATATAGAATAATGAGGCTATATTTGAGAAATGAAAATTGAAACCAGTTTGTAGTGATTTGCTGACTAAAATATTTAGATCATTTAGAAAGAAAAAAGTATATAAATGCTTAATACACTGTGAGAATTTTATGCTGTCTAAAACATTAATTTTTCATGTTTCAGTTTGTTTGAGAATAGAAAATTTTTGAAGGTTGTTGCAATCAGGTTGATATCAGAAAATAACAACATGTCATTTTGTGATAGCTACTTTAGAATGTACTTTCACGTAGATAACAACCCACAAAAGTAGTTTATTCTCTTTCACCTGTACTCCAACAATTCTAAAATGTCTATTTTATCTCTGGCTTATAAGCTATTTTATTGACAAACCTCAAATGGTTGACATGTTTCAAGTTTTAAATTTGTTGTTAATATTGGTGGCAGCAGTGGCCCATCTGGAGCAGTTGCTGTAAAGACACCAGGGCTGCATGCTCTACTGAACCAGCAAGAGCCAGAAACAGGCAGAAACCCCGATCCCTTCCTAGTTGGAGGGGCAGGAGCCCTCCAAGGCACTGCTGCAGCAGCCCAGACACAGCTACAGACCCAGGCATTCCTACACTCCCTGCCACCTCAGCTCTCTTCAGACTTTGTACACTGACAAGCACGAGAGGGAGGCTTGCCAACATGGGGAATGAGGGCAGCTTAGTACAGGCCTGCAGGCACCTTTTGGCACCAACAGCCTAGGCACCAGAGTATAGCTGGTTGACGGCGCCAGAAGGCAGACAGTCTCCTGGGCAGAAAGGGGCAGGTCCCCATTGAAGCCCCACCTGAAGCCAGGGACAGCCTGGAGCACAGGAGCTGGGCTGCCAGTTTCACAGACTGGAGTGAGAACTTATGGTGCTTTTATCTCCCAACCCACCCATGGACACCTATGGACCAATCAGCTTGTGCATTCTCCCCATTGAAGCCCACAAAACCCACCCCGCCCCAAAACACTCGAGCAGACATCTGAACAATCTGCTTGCATAGAGAAGCTGCCCACTGTGGGTCTCCTCTTAGCCAAGAGCTGAGCAGACATTGGGATAGCCTGCCTGCAGTTAAGAACTACCCAATCTGCATCTCCTGAGAGCTGTACTGTCACTCAATAAAGCACCTCTTTGCCTTACTCTCCAGTTGTCCATGTACCTCATTGTTCCTGGACACAGGACAAGAATTTGGGACCCACTGAATGGTGAGACTGAAAGAGCTGTAACACAAACAGGGATGAAACATGCCCCTCACTTGCCACATTTCGACAAGGAGAGAAGTGGGAAGGAGAGAAGAGCTGCACCCCTTTGAGGAGCCTAGACCTAGGAGCTGCCCAGACAAGGGCTCTGACATCTCTTTGGGGCTCTGCAATTCCTGGTGTCTTTAAGCTTCTGGGCACCACTGCATTCCCTGGTGCCAGTAGTGGAAGCTGCTTGCAGTATCACAAGGAACCTGGAGCTGCCTTTCCCACTATAGCCAGCATGCCTGGCTGTGCACAATGGTTGAATCCCGCACTTGCTCACTTGCTCACTTGCTCACGTACCCCTTGCCGCTCTATGCCTGGCTTGCCCTGTGCCAGTTTGGCATCTCGGCCAGTAGCTTGAGCCAAGTACAGCCTATGAAGCCGAGTAGGTGGAACAAGCCCAGTAAGCCTGAGCATAACTCGGGCAAAGGCGCCACCGGCCACAAAGGTTTCCAGTTAAGTGACACCCCAAGGATCTTGTGACATCATCATCATGCGAAAGGCTAGATTGAGTACTGGTACAGCAAGTATGACTACTAGGCTTTTCTATCCAATATTCAGTAGATACATCTATTTAAACTTTATAGGCTTTCATGACTCCCTACTCACATTCTATATGAATAATAAAAACAAATTATGATTTCCAATCCAGTTTTTCATGAGACATAGTGTGGCATGATGTAAAAAGCACTGACTTTGGGTAAGAAATAACTGGATTCAAATTATGGCCCTCTTAGACCGTGTGACTCGAGGCTAGGTACATGAGTTCTCTAAACTTCAGTTTACTCAGCTATAAAGTAGGTTAGAAAATAAATATAAGGGCTTTGTTGGCATTAAATGAGCAAAATTATTTATGTTACATTCCTTTTATTTATGTCGTAACTGCTAGAGAAGGAGATCAAAAAAAAAGAAGTGACTATCTGAAAGAAACTTAATGTTGGTATTTTTCTTGATTCAAGGTTTCATCTTGATTAAAAGGCCAACGTTTTGATCTTTGGAAGCTCATGCCTAACTGTATAATCTCCCAATTAGTCATTGTTGTTATCTTCCAGCTTTTGAACACTCCCTTTAACTGACTCTAAATGTATTGTTTCCATCAATTTCAGTTTCTACTGTCCTCAGCACTGTTAAGTATATGACTTTTCCAATACCCTAGCCTCATACTTCCTTGAGCCCTACATGAATATTGACCTTCATCTCAGCTCTACTTCATTTAGCCATACTGATTTTCACATCCTGTCTTTTTAGCCACCGGAATTCTGCCGCTGAAAGTACTGTTCTACCTCTAAATCACCATTTTCCAACAGCAGTCTCTAGTCTTCCCATCTTGCTTATACAACTATTACGCTGTCACTTAATTTGTCATATCTTATCAAGACTTCCAATTCTTTGTCCCTTCTACTTTCTCCTGTCTGTCAACCTGTGTTCCCTTTCCTTCCTATATAACTAAGACTTCAAGGTCCTTCATTTCAACTATTCTCTTGCTCATATCCCAAACTGCACTCTTATTTTGAGTCTCCACAAAATATCTTTCACTTAAAATATTTTAGGGAACATTTATTAACCTCCCCAAATCTCAGTTTTCTAGTGGATATATGAGTAATTACACCTATCTCATTGGATTCTGGTAAAGAATACATAAATTACTGCATATACAAACAGGTTAGCCTACCCTTTGACCCATGCAGAGAAGGGTAGCATGACACATAGACCGTATTTGTACCTACACTGGTGTATCCTGCTCTTAGAGACACTGAACCAAGCCAGGTAGTTTATATAGTGTGTACTTTGGGTCCTCAGCTTCTCAGATGGGGCCCTTAAGATTATCAGATAGTCTATCTTTGAGAAAGGACATTGATGAATCTTTAAAAGATGGATACTTAGGCATTTGAAATAACTGAAATGCATGTTATAAATTTTAGAAATCTCCGAGAAGCAAGGGATAATGCTGTGGCTGAAAAGGAACGAGCAGTGATGGCTGAAAAGGATGCTTTAGAAAAACACGATCAGCTCTTCGACAGGTAAGCATTATGAAAATAGAAATGTTAAAACTCTTCCATCATTGTTTCTGTTACATTTTCATTTAGAAAATGGATTTTAAGGAGAGAATAATTTTCAATTGAGGTATAATTTATGTTTACAACATGCAACTATTGTGTATATTGAAAATGTGGTATAGAACAGTTTGGTCACTCCAGAGAGTTTCCTTACGGCCCTTTAGTCCTTCTTAACCACTGCTACTCAAGAGGGACCACTTGCTGGTTTCTGTCACCACAGATTAGTTTTGCTCCTCTTAGACTGTAAATACTCTGTGTCCAGGTTCTGCCATTACACTTTGTTGTTGTATCTGTAGTTCACTCCTTATTGTTGCTGAGTATGAATATATTTTATTCAACTGTCAGTGGTCATTTTGGTGGTTTCCGGTTTGTCACTATCATGAATAAAGCTGCCATATAATTTTTTGAGAAAGTGTATATTTTTATTTCTCTTGGCATTGGTAATCATCAGGTAGATAAATGTTTTACTTTTTAAAAACCTGCCAAAGGTAACACCAAAGCAGTTGTACCATTGTATACTCTCTAGGTTTTTTTTTTTTTTTTTTTCCCAAATCTGTATGTTCTAAAGTATGTGTGTTGGAAGAAAGGTATCAGAGAGAATGATTTATCTTTAATTTATCAATAGAAAACAATATTGATTTTTAATAGCTTTGTGAAAAGGAAAATAAGTGATAGGCATTATGGTAAATATCATTACCTCATTAAACATTCTAAATTTTCAATGGTTTGAGTATATAGAGAGTAAAAACCGTGGCTACCTTAATTTTTTAACTTTTCATTTTGAAATAATTTTAGAATAGTTGCTAAAATGGTACAGAAAGTTTCTCCATATCCTTCACATACTAATAAACTTTTGAAATTAAGTTCAATGGGTCTTTTAATTGTTAAATGAAGATCAGATTAATATGAGGTATATGCAATACATAAAACTAAAATTTGAGGCAAGTCTTCATATAATTAACCTATTGTAAAAATCTTTTAGAATCGCTCAAATTGTGATACTTCTGAATTCACATCAATTTTATAAACTTGGCCTATGGAGGAATTTTAATAAATGTTATATTGAAGAAGCCATTCCTATAATGTGGAAGTATGTCTTATAATAAACATTATGGTATCGGTCCAGGTACAGTGACTCGTGCCTGTAATCTCAGCAGTCTTGGAAGGCTGAGGCAGGTGAATAACTTAAGGCTAGGAGTTTGAGAACAGGTTGGACAACATGGTGAAACCCCGTCTCTACTAAAAATAAAATAATTAGCTGTGTGTGGTGGTGCATGCCTGTGATTCCAGCTACTCAGAAGGCTAAGGCATGAGAATCACTTGACCCAGGAGGCGGAGATTGCAGTTAGCCGAGGAGGTCATGCCACTGTACTCCAGCCTGGATGGCAGAGTGAGACTCTGTCTCAAAAAAAAATTTTTTTAATATATCTAAAAAAAATAAAGATCATGATATAAAAGATCATGGTATATAAATTACCTCCTTTTATTGGAGTGCCTATAAAAACTTTATGTTTTATATTTTATTACATGTAACACTTCCACTTACAAATCATATGATGTCTCCTAAAGATTCATTTGATTTTGTGTTTATGTCAGTTTTTCTTATGTAGTTTTACGGATATATATGATTTTAGGGATGGCTCTAGAATAAGATTTATAGGCAAACTATTAAGGTTTAAAAGACAACACAAGCTATTGGCCAGTAAATCAGAACTTATATTTATGACTTGCTAGATACTGTGTGGTTTTGTAAAGTTGGAGGGAAAGTAAGTCTGATCATAAAATTGACTATTTTATATTTATTGTAAGCTCTGCAATATCTTACACTCTCACACCCAAACCTTCTTACTTGTCCATACATTTGTGGCTGATATTCATCCAAAGGCCATGGGATACTTTAATACCTAAAAGTATCTATTAAATCATTGAGGATTCGATTATTTGATGTTTGTAAATAAGCATTGTAAAACTTAGAACAGTGTCTTGCTATGATAACTAATATTATCCTAGAATAATTTGTCCAATTTAATTTTGTTGTGAAACTTTACTAACTGAATTTTGTTCTTCACAAGTTGATATCTTTCCAATGAATTTTTCACTAGAATATTAGATAAACTGGAAGACCTCATTTTCAAACTGCCAGATAAGAGGAAGCTTGTTTATTCATAATTCTTTGAAGTCATAGTAAATCCTTGCTTATTCAGAACCTAATTTTCAGCCAACCTTAAATATTTATGATAGTTTTAAAATCAAGACAGGGAAAAAAATGTGTTCCTAGACACCACTAAAAATAACCCTTGAGCAGAAAATAGAGCTAATGCTCAGGACTGTAAAGGACATTACAGAAACAGAGATTTATGAATGAATGAATGAGAATAATATCTGGGAATGTAAAACTCAAAATAAACTTAGGCTTTACTAAAATGCTTAAAATAGCTAAAGTTATTTATCTGTTTTTTTAACATGTAATATCAATAAGCAAAGGGAAAAATCTCCCTGCTTAGGATTGTAATGTTGTTAAATGACATTTTTAAAAGTAGAATTTTAGATGTACCATCAATTTAATTCTTTCTTAATTAATATATGAATTCAGTGCAATTCATGTCAGAATTTTCAAAGGACTTTGTGAAACTTGGCAAACCAACACTAAACTTCTTTTTTACAATTATTAATGGCTATTCTTGTACATTTACTCTTCCATGTAAATGTTTATAGTTATATTTTTTATGTTACACCTTTTCTTCATCTGAAGTTCAATTTTGGGGTAGTGTACATAGAGAACTAATTTTATTTTTCGTGAAAATATCAGTTTCCTTAAGTTAAACTATACGTTTAATGTAATCCAAATAGAACACCAATAAGACTTTTAAAAAAATCAGACAAATAAGGTCTGTGGCTTATATGGAAAAATTAAGAAAGTGCATTTCTAAATAAGGACAATGAATTGTGACAGGCCACTAAGTTAGCCAGCTAGGGGAAAAAGAAAATTGAGATCCAGATGTCATACTTACAAAAAAGATAAATTACATAAAGATGAGATTTAAATGTAAAACCATTAAAAACCTTAGAAGCCATAGGACAGTGTTTTTATAATCTTGAATTACAAAAGGCCTTTGCAACTCAGGAGTTATAGAAGTAATAAATTGTTAAACTTGACTCCCTACAAATGAAGAATGTTGGTATGACATCACTACCATAAGAAGAGTCAAAAAAAATGCAAATGCAATCTCGGAAAAAATATTTGCTGGGCATGGTGGCACGTGCCTGTAATCCCAGCTACTCAGGAGGCTGAGGCAGGAGGATTGCCTGAACCCAGGAGGTGGAGGTTGCGGTGAGCCTAGATCGCGCCATTGCACTCCAGCCTGGGTAACAAGAGCGAAACTCTGTCTCAAAAAAAAATAAAAAATAAAAAAAATATTTGCAACATCTGTCACAGTCATGTGACTGATTTTCCATTCTCCAAATCAATAAATGAACATTAACTTCATAATAAAACCATACCTATTCTCAGCCAGGAGCGGTGTCTTATGCCTGTAATCCCAGCACTTTCGGAGGCTGAGGCAAGTGGATCTCCTGAGGTCAGGAGTTCAAAACCAGCCTGGCCAACATGGGGAAACTTTGTCTCTACTAAAATACAAAAAAATTAGCCAAGCGTGGTGGTGCCCACCTGTAATCCCAGCTACTTGGGAGGTTGAGGCAGAAGAATCAGTTAAAGATGGGGTTTTGCCATGTTGCCCAGTCTAGTCTCGAACTCATGACCTCAAGTGATCTGCCTGCCTCAGCCTACCAAAGTGCTAGGATTACAGGCATGCCCAGCCACACTTTGCTCTCAATCAAGGAATTTTATTTCCAATACGTCATCCTGCAAGTACACTTGCTAGGTTCCAAATACTACATCTACCACTTTATTCACTGTAGTATAGTTGACATTTAGGCAGTAGTTAAAAGAATTGTAAATCATGAGTATACACTTACAGAATACCACAATGTAGTTATACAAAAGGAAGTAAGTAGCTCTTTATATCAGGACCAGGAAAAATCTATTAACACTTACTGCTTCTGGAGAAGGAAGTCAGGTGTTGGGTGGCTGGTGGACAGATAGAGATTTTGCACCTCATAAATATGGGTACATATTTATGTATCCTATTTTGTACCTCATACATACTGAAACTTACAATGTGTTTTTAATTAAATTTAAAGAGTGATTATTAAGAATACTTACAAGTTTCAAATCTTAGTTACTGAGAAACTTCAAAAATTATGTTTTTAATACTCCTGGTGAACAATGGGAGTGAGTAAAGGGAGTCAACAAATACCATCTTGTTTTCATAAAGGGGAAAAAGGTAGTGGATTCTTGCAGCTATTAGGGAACATATTAGTAGATTACATTACATATCATATTTTGATAATTTATACTTTGATGTAATGATTCAATGCAATCTTGTATAAATTTTAAGCAAATTACTTAACTTTTTTAAACTATAATGTATGTAAATACTTTGATGACCCTTTGTTTTTTTCATTGTCAGATAGGCGTGATGATTCTAACCATTTAGGATTGCTTTGAGGCTTAGATATAATATATTTTAAGTATGCATCATAGTTTATGCTCAATAAGCAGCCATGCTTGCAGTGGTTTTTAAGACTGCTGTTGAAAGAAGCAAGTATCACCACCAAAAGTTAGGATGGATTCTCTAAGAACAAATCAAAGAAGACTACATTTCCATTTTTTAATATTTCAGGGCTAAAGCATGGAAATGAGTTAGGTAGGGAACAAGGGATTTGATAAAGACTTTCCATGACATTCTTTTAAACAAGATGGGGGAATTATGGAGACAATTCAAGGTCAGGTAAATGGATTAGTAACTGTTGAAGGGCCCAAGTGTTGTTAGAGAATCAGTAATCAAGAAGTGGGTGTATGATGCTCATCTGTAATATCCTGCAGTACTGTATTTCTACATTTT